GTAGGGAAGACTCTTAGTGGCTATGTAGGTAATCTACCTTCCATTAAATTTACTGATGTCATCTGTCTGTTGAATTCTACTTAGAATTTGGAAAACAGGAATTACTTTGGGGATCAATATGTCTTGTGTGAGGTAGGTCCTTAGCATCTATTTCAGCAGTTTATAGATCATATGTTGTAAGTACCTAAAGTTTTCTAATGAAAAAAATATGTTTAAGGATTTAGGGAAATAGTGAGTAGAGTTCTTTTGATTAACATTTTACTTGGGTATCTCTATAAGATGCATATAATTGTTTGAATGTTGTATTTCAGCTTCAGGCTCTCTCCTGCTCCAGTAGGGCTTTTTTTTCCTTTTGGCCTAGTTCGGGTGCCTTCTGACTAGTGCAATTAAATGTTTTCTGGTTCTGTTGAGAAGTGTGTTTTGTTGGAACAAGCAGTTTTCAATTTCAGAGTATGACTTAAGCCAAAGAATCAGTCGGGAGTGAAATGTTCAATTGCTCACTCTAACGGCAGAGGAACAAGTTAACATTGTATTTGACTGGAAGATGCATCAACAGCATTTCTGCAGTGAAATTAATGACTCATTTGAGCTGAAGATCCATATGTTAACTAGTGACTGCATCACAAATACTAACAACTTAAGTGAAAGGCTTTTCTATGTTTAAACCTTGAATATCCTCTGATTATTGTCTCTTTAATAGGTTTGATTGATTTCAAAGCAGCTCTAAGTGACTGCAATGGGCTTAAAACAGTTTAGTTTAAAGTAATATATTTATTGTTTCAACTGAAAATTTTGTAATGCACTAATATTAGAGCAGGAAGTGGCCTGAATAGAAGAAAACATTGCCTGTTTTTAGAAGATAAAAGACACGTATAGGTTAGCTCAAAACTGGTCCTCTGCCTTGGACAGACATTCTACTCCATAGATGTTCTTCTTGGCTTGAGTTAAGGTACATTTTTAGTTTCCAGTGGAAGAACAGGTGTGCATAGTGTTCCTAAATAAGACAATTGAATGGATGAGTTAATGAGTTCAAATATTGTTATTTAGACACTGTAGTTTATTGAGAGTTTGGAATACATTTTGGAGATGTGAGGAGGGCATAAAACTTAACAGCATGGTTTATAATTAATAGCACGTTTATTTAATAGCATTGCATAGTCACAATACATAATATAGTGGTTTAAAACACGTGGAACAGTAGTTTTAACTTAAAATTTTGAGAGCTTTTCTTGAGTTGTAAAGTGACACAATTGTTTTTTCTTAACAGCAGGTGTAAAATTAAATTAATCCAATATTTGTAAGGATTGCAGTTAATCCTAGCATGCACTACTGTGCAGCATGCGGATACAAGAAGGCAACTAGAAAGTGCCTTGTCCATTTGTAAGTCAGAAGCAAGCAGGAATATTTTAGTCAATGAGAAAAGTACATGGTTCATTACATGAATGGAGAAGAAGGGACAGTAAATGCCAAATTGTGAGCATCTGTAGCTATGAGGAATTGGAAGACTGAATACAAAGCTGGAGAAGCTTATGTAAATAACACTTTCATGATAATAACATGAGAAAAATGAAAATGTAATTTGAAACCTATTATAAATAGTATTTTTCAAGTGAATATTATAGTCTGTGTTGCAGGGAAGTATAGGTATGTTTGTGGTCTTTCTTGTTTTCCAATCTGGCTGGTATTTCTGGATGGCATGAAGTTAGCCATGGGAACCTAGAAGAAGGGGAAGTACTTAGCTATTGTTGACCACTGTCTTGCTGTAGTTGCATCTCTAGGAGTGAATCTGTAAGTCTGAAGCATAGACAAACACTGAGAGAAATGGAAGCCCTCTTTTTCTGGGGCTCTAATTCTGCCTAGACTTAAGCAAAACAATGTATTCAAGTCATTCTCATGATTTACATATCCCAATTTCAGTATATATCAATAAACATTTCTGGCTTCATCTTCATGGTAAATGAGATTACGTAGTTTCTTCATGGCTTTCTGAATGCTTGAAGTTGTATGTGTTGTCACTGTAACTTGTTCCACTTTGATAAATACGACATGAGAGGGCTAACATGATTGACATATTGCTGCTGTTTGTCTGTGGCAATGTACAACAGAACTTAATTTTCTCCATAATGAGGTGTTAAAGATTTTTGTAGCGTATTTGCCATCTGTTTCTGTGTAGTCACTCTTGTAGTGACTAGGTACATCTTTGCAGGGGGATCTTTGCTCTCCAGTATCAGCAGTAATAGTGAAAATGTTGTTTTGGTATCTAGTGCTCCTTCAGTACCTTTCTGCTCACTTCTAAAATATGGAAAACCTGATGAAAACCAAGATGTCATGTCAATCTTATATTGTTATGGGGTTTTTTGTTTGTGTTTTTTGTTGGGTTTTTTGTTGTTGTTGGGTTTTTTTTGGTTTTTTTTTTTGGTGGGGGTGGGATTGTTTTGTTTTCCGATGGAGGATGTAAAAACAAGACAGTCTATAGCCTTCCCTACATGGAAGGATACATTCAGATATGTTAATGCAGAAAAGCTTCATCTTACAGGAAAGAAAAACAAGCAGAGAGAACACATTAAAAAGACATAATGTTTTGTAAAACCTGATGCCTTATTTGTATTAGGATTTTTGTTTAATTCAATATTAGATCATTTGGCTTACTTTTTTGAAAGTTTTTGGGTGTTGGTCAAGTGTTTACATGTTGTTTACAAATAGCTCGAAGTTTGTAGGCATGAAGCCAGTGACCTGAAACTTGCGTAATGGATTTAGGTCGGAGCTGGAAGGGAAGGTGCAAAAATGTATAGCTAATCTGTACGAAGACTGGATATCTGTTTAATTGTTATTGTCATTTAAGGAAAGATTTGTTTAATTTTGAAGTTGCATTTTCCGTTTCCTCTTTTTTTTATTTTCCTTTAATAGGTGCCTAATAGTATCTATTAAAGTTAATGTTTTTACTGTATTTTTTTTTTCCAAATCTGAATGAGATATTCCTGGCTGAGTCTGGGCTCATGATGGATAACAAATTTCACTACATGTTTAATTATTTTCTAAGTCAAGATTCTGCAAAATGCTGTTCTAGCTGCAGTTGCAGGTGAGCAGCCTGTTCAAGGTGAATACTGTTGACATACAGACAAGCATGTGAATTTTTAACTCTCTATGTTTTTACAAATAAATGGAATTGCTGCATGTCGAGAAGTGTCATGCATGATAATGCAACATTTTGGGTATGAGGAGAGTCTTTTTGCTACCTGCATAGGATTTTTAAGTAAACCAGAGCATGCATCTCTTTTTCCAGTGTTTCCAAACTTGCTTGTTTTCCAAGCATCTTGTTTGCTTGAGATAGTTCCATCTCTGTAGCCCTTCATGGCCCCTCTATACTGAACTTCCCATCAATAGAGGTGCAATTGTGTCCAGTACACTTCTGAATCAGTGTCCTTGAGACTTTGTTACAGGAAGTGGCAGCAGTTACCTGCTTCCCAGTTTGATTTAGAGAGTTGATATCATCTTATTTTGAAAGCTGAGCCTGCATAACACAGAATCTGGCAGTTGACTCTGAGAGATCTATTCAGACCACACTATTCCAAATGGAGCTGTTGTGGCTGCGTGCTTATCTTGGGGAGGTCTCTTTGGAGTAGTGGAAAACTTTGTTTACAGTATCCAGAATGTTTTGTGGTCAGAAATAATATTGCTATATAATTCTTAAGAACTGAGGCAAGTGCTAGAAGTGCAGTGGGGAAAAAGCATCAGCTTCTTAAGTTGTGTTGTCTGATGTAAATACACATTTATTCTATACTGTGAGTGAGACAATGTGAATTTTTCTCTGAAAAAAGTTCAGAAACACTGATTTTTATAGATAGGCGTAGTATTTTGAAAGCCACACACACTCATACAAAGCAGTGTTTGATTATCTTGACAGACGTATTTTGAGTTATTTTTATTGGAAGGGACTACTGTATGTACTTTGAAGATTTAGTTCTGTTTCTTTTCTTTTGACATGCAGTGATGAAGGGGAAGTGCTGCCTTAAAAACAGCAAAAGGAGGAGAGTTAAAAATGTGAAACTGTGTCTGGTTTCCAGTCAGACCAGTTTGAGAATGCTGGGTTTCTTTCAGTTCATAGCAGTGTTGTGTCCTTAAATGTTGAGATGGAGTCTTGGCTTGACCCAAGTGAACAAAAATACCCTGTGTTTGTGTTGATCCTTCCAGGAGGTTTTTGAATGTGTTTGCTGATGCTGTGGTTAGGGTTATTGCCTAGATTCCTGTTGGGATAAGTACATTTAAGAGCTGCTACATGCTGAATGAACTAGAATTTCATGTAAAGGTAATTTTGAACCCATTATGTTTTTCTTTGATATTTACATCTTTTTAATAATCCATAGAATTTGTATATTCCACTTCGATGCAGTGAATAGAAGTATTGTTATTAGGATTACTATTACAAAATTTAAAGATGAGGTTCTGAATGCTGCATTCAGTATGTGAGATGTTCCATTGCTGAGTATCTCAAAGTTTTCAGGTTAGCCTGAACCCATCATCTTTGCTGTATCTTCTGTATAAAATAATTAATTGCTTTTCTATAGCTGGTAGTTCGTGTGCAAAATAGAGCCACAATTGAATTGTTATTGCTGTATTAATTTTGCGGTCTGATTATTAATGAAGTGTGAAATACGGAGTAATTGTGGAGTTTTGAAATGCTCATGCTTCTTAACTTTTTGTGTTGAGTAAATTCAGTCAGGTTTTTGAGGCTGAAAGCTGAGGTTTGTGTATGCCATGTTGTGAGCTTTGTCAGCTATGTTTTTCTTTTAAGTTGAGCTCTTAAAGAATAAAAGATGGGCCTTAGGTATGCCGTGGCTTTCAAGGCATTATCAGTCAAGTATAACAGGAAAACCTGGAGACCCCACTTGGAGTGCTGTGTACAGTTCTGGTGTCCTCAGCATAAGAAAGACATGGAGCTGTTGGAGCAAGTCCAGAGGAGGGTCTTGAGAACAATAAGGGCCTGGAGCACCTGCTGTATGAAGACAGGCTGTGAAAGTTGGGGCTGTTCAGCCTGGAGAAGAGAAGGCTCCAGGGAGACCTCATAGCAGCCTTCCAGTATCTGAAGGTGGCCTACAAGGATGCTGGAGAGGGACTCTTCGTTAGGAACTGTAGCAACAGGACAAGGGGTAATGGGTTCAAATGTAAACAGGGGCAGGTCAGGTTTAGATATAAGGAAGAAGTTCTTTACTGTGAGGGTGGTGAGGCACTGGAACAGGCTGCTCAAAGTTGTGAATGCTCCATCCCTGGCAGTGTTCAAGGCCAGGTTGGACAGAGCCTTGGGTGACATGGTCTACTGTGAGGTGTCCCTGCCCATGGCAAGGGGGTTGGAACTAGATGATCTTAAGGTCCTTTCCAACCCAAACCATTCTATGATTCTTATTAACAAATGGGGGCACTTCGTATGTGAAAAATATTTCTGGGTTATATCCTCTAAAAAATTAATCTGAAATGAATATTAAGAAATATTTTTAGCATGAAACTAATAAAACTATTAGTAATAATTCACTGAGATTTCTTAATTGGATAAAGGTGGTCTGTAAATGAAGTGCAAATGAATCTTTGTGTTTAGCTTCAGTATCAAACAGTACAGCATTTACTGGACATAAGTTGTCATTGAACAAGCTGGAATTCAGTACAGTATCTTTTCTTGTTGCTCTGTCCATTGTTCACCCTGGTCCCTGTCAGCTTTGTCTGTTGCTTTTTTTTCCCTGTATCTCTTTCAGGTTTTGATGTGTTGGTTATTTTTACTTCCCCAGTTTTTTCATTCTTAAACCTATGTTGGCAATGTCTAACTGGTGCTGGTAAATGCCTTGTAAATAAGTGGTGGGAGAGCTAAGGATTTGGGTAGTCGCATCACAGATTGCGTATGTATGGGAAGGCAGCACTGTTCATTGTATTTAATCTGCGAAAGCTTAGATTGGCCTTTCTGTGGTCAACAAACAAATGAAAAAGTGATTTGATGCAGATAGTTCTGTGCTTCAAAGGGAAATGGCAGAACAGGTGTGCAGAAGCGTCTGACTGCGTATGGCTCTATGCCTTAGATGCTGGGAAGAAAAATTAATTCATTTTTGTCTTTGTAAAGGAGGGGTTTATAGATGTGGAATAGGAAAATGCTTTTCTCAGAGTTATTGTTTCCTCTGTGTGTATTTGTGTGTGTTGGGAGAGAGGAGAATACTTGGTACACGTTTGCAACTTGAGTGCCAAGACACATGTGTTTAAATTTCAGTTTTTTCTATTATATATGCTGAGTGTCTGAATTTTGCTGAAATTACTTTTGAAATACTTCAGTTGGATATTTATATTCTCAAACTATGGCTTTCAGTCAAGAAAATGTAAATCTATTGTAGTTCTTTAGGTATTTATGATTCACTTATAAAGAGCATCTGAAAGGATTAGCTGTTGTTTGCTTATTGTATATTTTTCGAAAATATTGATTTCTGAATTGTAAATGCTGAATGTAAAGTACTGTGAGAAATCCTATTTTAATTGAGTTTCAATCCAAGTGTGACCTTTTGGTGATAGATCTTATTGGACATTTGATTGGAATTCACTGGTTTTTTTCCAACTTACAAAAAATACACCTCTTTTTCCTTTCTCCTCAGAATCAACGAATCCCATCTGACATGGTGTTTCTCAGAACATCGGAAAAAACTGGTATGTTTTGATAATTCAGGATGGTTAAATGATAAGTTTGTGGTTGCAGTAAAATTTTAGGTTGTGCATTGTGGTCAGTTTGAAGTGGTCAGTAGACTGATGGTGGGAAATCTGCCTTCATCAGATTAATGGGAGAGAGTGCACATATGAGAAATGCAGTATGCTTGGACTGTAAAACCGGAGAAATCTTACTATGAACACGGGATTATAGATACGTTCCTCCAAAGAAATGATTTTTATGAACTGTTATTACAAAATGTTTAGGTAAAGCAAATAGTAAGAGTACTTTATATTTAAAAGATCAGTTTTGGTTTAGATGACTTGACAGTATTTTAAATGATTAGTTGTAAATTGTTATCTTGCAATACATTTAAATGTCGGTGATTGTATTTCGGTTATTAAATTGAAAAGAACTGAAATCTCAAACTACTAATATGTGGTTAAAATATTTTTTAAAAAAGTCTGTTGCAATGATATAAAACCCTGAAGTAACTGAGGTTTTTTGATGGGGTTTTTTTTTTTTTGTTTCTCTTACTTAGAAATAATACTGCCTTTTTGATCAGTCAGAAAACCGTGCAAAAATCTTCTTGATTGAGAGAAAGAAAAGTACTTCTCGTTAGTTCTGTTTCTCTTCACATGATGATAGAAGAGTACTCTTCATCTTTGAGAAACAAATATCTCCTTTATAGAAATCCTGTAAATTACAGCTGTTTTGATTAAAGTTTAGAAATTACTATTGGTTGCCCCCTATATAACTCCAATGAGTTTCCATCCTGTATATTAACCATTTCCCTTCAGATCCTGAAGAACTGTCTGATATTTGTCAGACAGCACTAAATTTCAAAAAGCTAGTAGCTGTGATATTGATAAACTCTGTATTAGTGGTACTTGGTTATTGCACTGTGGCACTGGAGTTCTATCATGTATTTCGGATGAAAGTCTAAATTTGCAGAGATCATTTGCAAAAGAACACAAAATATTTCTGATAGCCTACAGAACCCTACGAGAGCTATATATTTGGTAAAAGAAATTACCATGTGTAGTTACTGTGTCTTCCTAATGACTTTCAAATGCTGATTAGATGCACTAGATCATCTGTAACTGGTCTGGACTGACAAAGTTTCCTAATGATCTGTATATCATCCCTGTCTTGGTTAACCACTCTAGTTCAGGATACATGGGCTTTTCTCTTTATTCCCTCCCACAGTACCGCATTTTATTAAAATGCATAATGCTTCTGACAACTCAAATTTCTTACATGCAGCATGATTATAAAAGGATTGATAATGTTGGTCTTGGGGTCTACTTGCAATTATGTCTTTTCCTACTGACCCTACAAGTGTTTCAGCTGATATCACAGCTCCTAGAAAAGTAGGAGGACTTCTGCACCCGTAGAAGAGTTACTTTTAAACTAAGCTGCTTGCATGCAATGTGTAAGTGGTGGAAGATCAGTGTGTGTTGATCCAAAATTTTCTTAGCCTTTATTAGGAAACTCAATATGTAGCATTGTTTGGTGTTTGCTCTTGAAGAAGCATCAAAAACTGTCTGGTGAGAGCTATCTTGCTGTCCTTAGCTAGGATCCTCAACGCAGTTTACATCAGATGCATGTCACTGCTGGAATAGATGAACAAGAATCAGATGAGACGGTTGCCTAGCTTGCAGCAAAACATGTTCTTAAATTATGTAGTTTGCATATCTGTACCGTAGCATGTTTTCCTCCCTATTAAATTACTGGATTCTGTTTGTGAGTTTATAAGACACTGTGTGGACTCCCCTCCCTGTAGTATTGTTAGTTGAAGGATTATGGTACAGGCGTGGTCGTCAGTGAACAATACAAGCCGGAATTGCATCTACACAGGATAGCTCTGTCTTGACTGGAATATATATGAATAGTAGATCTTCAAGGACCAGAGTTAATATAAATAGTTTATCTCTTTGTCAAGATACAGATGGGGAAGGGGACCAGGGTGCACTCCTACATTAGAAATGTGTGAATAACATTTTTGAAACTAAATTTCATCAAGTCTACTTTGGTCACCTTTCTTGGAATGTCATAATTAAAATTTTCCTGTAAGAGACTGTTAAATTGCTATCTGGAAAATAAAACTACGTATTTTAGAAGTTCATCATGTTGTAACAGTAGGCTTTCCATAATCAATATTGAAAAATGCTTGTGAACTATTTGAAAGAGTTGTGTACTTACTATGTGAATATTCATTATAATGTAAGGTAAGTAAAGAGCAAATGGAGTAAAATCTTTCCAGAATCCTGCTATAAATTGTTTTATATCTACTTAGGCTATATGTGCAATAGTAGAATGTGATTTTTAACATTGAAAATTCAACGGGTTAACTGTGTTGCACTTTAAAAACAACACAAGCCAGGGTGGGGGGAGGGAGGAGGGTGAAACTCGAAAAGAAAGAAGTCCCCTGAACTTCAAGCATATGGCAGTAATTGTTTTCTGACTAAAGAGTGAACACTTGCATCTGTAATTGTTTCTTCCTGGATGCTGCAGTTTTGACTGATTTATGGTTTAATTTATAGTTGGCACTTTAAGTACTTTGTAAAATACATTAGTTTTTGCTTGGGTTTATGTTCTATATGTAATTTTATTTTATCTTCTCTGCAATAAACCAGTTTAACTATAACTTGTTACTATAAATCTATAAAGAGTAAAACGAGGAGTTTGAACTAATTTTAAAATCCAACACACCCTGTAAGCTTCTTCTGTGGCAAAGTACTATTTTCCAACTTCAATATTTACACTACATATTAATGTAGTCTTCAGCACTGCAGTATCCTATATCTTCAGTCAGAAAAAGAAGCAGTTTGAGTTATAAATGGGTAGTTTACAAAGTTCAGCCTAAAACTATTCTGGCTTGTTTTTATGCAAGTGTGGTGCTATGGAAGAAGTGAGACAATGGCATGGGCTTGTTTTCCTCCACTTCCCACACTTCTAGGAATGCTGAGTTTTTTAGGAAACTTCTTACTCTACATCATAGAAGCTGAATTTCAGAGAATCAGGCTTCCTTTGCTAAAACTGAGTTCTTACTAGATATATATATATTATTTTTTGCTAGAATATCTTCAAATAAGCTGATATAATGAATTGATGCTAATTGTGTACATATTTTATTTTATTAGACTCCTATGTTTTTTAACCAGACTTTTAGAAAAGTTAGCCTAAAAACTAATGTAGGTGGGTCTTTGTTTTGTGTTCATGTTTGACAGTCTGTAATATCAGTATTCCTCTTTTTCATGAATGGAGGTAGCTAGATGGCTGCGTTTAGAGTTAGGATTACTTTCCTGGGGGATGGAGCTAGCAGAAATCACTTCTCAGATGTTAATTCTTTGCTGCTGTCAGGCTCCTCATATAATAGAGGTTTCCACAAGATCTTCATTGGCTTCCAAAATAAAAAAAGTAAAAAACTCAAAAAAGTAAAAACCTCCAGAATAATATGTTGGGCTTACATATATTTAGAAAGGGGTGTGTGTGGGTATGTGTTAAGGCTGAATCTTGGTTTTGCTCATTACATATGGCAGAGATGGCAAGCAATTTGGAAGATGTGTCCCATTTATCAGCCTTCCACCAGATTAAAGGAAATGTTCATGCTGAGCCGGCTGCAGTAGATGATTTAAGATTATTTTCATTTGGTGTATAAGCAGGCATCATGCCAAAACCAACTGACTGCCTTAGTGGAAAGCTGTTATGTAAATTGTGTTACACCAGTGGAAATCTCCCTTATTGAAATTAAGCTAGATCCTAAGTGGCCTTTAACATACTTTTCAGGTGATTCTTTAAATTGCTTGGCATGCTTCTCTACATTTTATTTGTCTATCTGCCATCCTAATCATAGATCAAAAAGCTAGGCAGGCATTCCAGACATCATAGTGTAACTTTATTGTTGTCCACAGGAACCGCCAACTGAAGCAGGTGTTGATGACTTCAGTGTTAGGGGAGTATTATCAAAGATACTATGTTTGTAAGCAGAAATAAAATTTTAAACCTTTTCCTTCTCTAAGCTAAAATCTTCATCCTCTGCCTTAGTTGTGCCTTGTGTTGGTGCCTTGGTTCAGTGACTGGCTTCTGGCCCAGGTCAGGTGTTTCTGTGGTAACACACAAAGGTGTTCTGATATGAACTGGAACTGGTCCTTCATGAAAATCTTGTGTATGTCTTCATAAAACTTGTCTTTATATAACTTTATATCCTTAAGATCTTTGGTCTGCCCTACCTGGTTGAAGTTAGCCACAAGTTGATCATTACTGGGACAAAGATGTCCTGGAAGAATAATATTGTGCATGGAAATAGGGCTACATGGGCTATTTGCTGAAGCCTCTGCAGCTGGAATAGCCAAGGGATAACTACCTTTTGGGTTTTTGATATGCTCCATAGATGCTAGGACTGTGAAGAATTGCTTGTTTTACATACTGCTGCTACCTATTTAGGCCTATGACAGGCTGATCCATAACACTCTTATGGGTTTTGTTATTAGCTTTTTAGGAGGATGATAATTGATTAATCTTAGCTAAACCTTTGGGTTTACTCCTGAGGTCCCCCTTGTCACAGATATCATTGTGATGGTATGAAAAGTAGAGCTGGGTTTTCTCTTCAGCCTTTTCTGGTAGAAACTGAGCTTCCAAAGGGTAAAGTGGAATTGCTTCTACTGGTCTACTTCAACTTTCCTGACCATAGCATTTGAACCTTGTACATTTGTGTCTTGCACAGAGTTAAATTTTTTGGCAGACACTTGATTCAGTGTAGAGTAATAGCCACTACTTCTGCAAAAAAGTAATTTTCCTAAGAGACAGAGTACTGCATTAAGATACTGTTATTCTAACAAACTGATAAAAGTTTTTAGTAAGTGTAAAGGTAGAAGTCTAATAAAATAAGGTCCACAAATGCATTTTAATATGTAAGCTGTTGTAGACTTCATTAACTACCAAACTGGCAAATAAAGGTAATACTCTGGAGAGAGCAACTCCCACTGATCAGTTCTGC